AATCGGAGAGAACCGTAGACCCTGTTTTACTAGAAACGTCTTCTCTTCGTCGACGTGATAAACGTCGTCGTCTACCTTAGTTCTCACAGGTGACAACGCATCTGCATTTTGATTCGTAACCAATATAGATGTAGATGTCTAGGGGCCGCAGCAACGGCTTAACATCAGGTGGACTGTGTGATCATTTGTCACCTTTATCCTATAAAAAAAAAACTCAATCTTGTCTTGATGATACACAAAAAGGAAGTACAAATAATAGCAAGTTATTTCTCTCCTTTGATGTATGCGAAAAAAAAATAAACCGCTTAGTTCAAACGCGTGGAAGCCGACAAAGGAGTGGAGAGTCGCCAAACGTAAGATTTTCTGCAATAGATATTGGTCGTAAGAGCAACGTCCTTGAAATTTGCCAAAATTAAAAAAAATATATTTTATTTTATTTTATTTTTTTAGAAATATTACCCTCATACATGAATTTTCTTCTGTGTCGTTAAGGCGCTTCACATAAGTTAATTGCACATAGACAAATATCTAGACCCGGAATAACAGTTTGTAGGTTATTCCGTGCTTGATTCGAACCCGTGGTCCCGCAGTGTTGCATTCGCTTATTCCCTGCGCTAACAAGCCGCTATAAATGTTGCGTTATTCATATTTTTCTTCACATTGATGAAACTATCATATTAAAATGAATTTTTGTAATAAAAGTTAAAAAAATCTGGACTTTTTAACTTCTCTTACAAATTGTAGCATAAAAATAAATATAGTATATGAAAAAGAGAATGCATAAACATTTTAAAGGATAACAAAACTTTTTTCGCACTTTGACAAACTCTACAAATTTGTAAATCACGTATGTACGCTATTGTCTTGTAAGTAATAAAAGGACGAGCGTTATTAGCGTAAATTATGCGAGTTAATTGTGTTGCAAATAAATAAAAATTATATAAGTAATAATATGCACCGAAAATAACGGTACTCTCTTTAGTTCATAAGTATTAAAAAGTTTTTATTGTGGTATAAATATTAAAGTCTTAAAATTTCCTACGTCGTAAAAACGGTATACTTGTGAATATACAAATGTTCAATTGAGTCACCAATTGCGTGACTAAGGTTCATTATTTATAGTGTGTTAAAATGTTATTTCGTCATTAATGTGATGAGGTTGTAGTAAATTTGACAAAATTGATCTATTCGTTATGATTCTCTTTGCTTATATTGTTGTTTAGCTCTCTGTTTACAAATACGTATTATATCTATATTTATATTATTTATATGTAGCCGTCACATTATTTCAATATAATTTAAAAAATATTACTAATATATTTTTCGTTTTATGACATCAGTCTCATGTAGTTGTGAGTGAATAATAAATATATTAGGGCTTCCGAATTCATTTGTTCTTATTTACACCAATTAATGAATCAATCATTTTACTTTTATACAGAAATCATGACTTAATTAAATTCCATCATTCACTCCTACAATAATATAAATAAAGCAAAGCAACAGCATAAGTTCGTCCTATTGTTTGGTATATATAAATATTAATAGATCTTTATCACATTTAATAATGTTACCTGAAATCGTTACAGTAACGGAAAATTTTATGCATAGTGATAATGAATTCCGAATTCGGTTTACTTGCGAAGTAAATGACTAATTATAAAACGCGATTACGCTGCCAGGAGTTTTTAAATCTAAGCAATAAACTGTTGGCAAATTACGGAAATGAAATTAATGGAGATAGTAAAGTTGTTTCTTAGAGAATGTGGTCTATATTTTAACCAAAACGATTCAAAACGCTGATTAGATCCAGGTAATGACGTTATTGGATTGGAGATGTTATTGGACAAGACGTTTAGTAATTTTTGTAAGAAACGTGTATATGATAATAGGACGAGAATCACAATATTACTTGAGATTGTATTTCCGGGGTTTTATAATGAATTTTGCATCTTTCTATTGCGTAGTAAAGTGTTCTAGCATTTTTAAAATTGATGAAAATTGTAATGGTCGCTACAACTGATCAGTTCAAACTAAAACTGTTGATATTTTTTAAAATATCGGATTATCGATATATACGTAAATAAACTTAAATGTAAAACTCCGGTATTAATATATTTATGATGATGATCGATATATCGAAAATCCACTATTTAAAAAAAATATCAACAGTTTTAGTTTGAACTGATCAGTTGGAATGATCAGTTGAACTGACCGCACTTCCCCGCGCGTCGTATGCAATGTACCAACATGTTTGCAATCACTAATACTGTAAGTAGATAGGTCGTTAGATACTTATTATATTAGGTTTATTGCCTTTATTATCATATTTATATTATATTTATGCCTGTTTCTTAATGCCAACCCAGTCGCTTCCTATTTTTATTATGGTTATTTCCCATTTTAATTTTACATCATCCTGTTGCGTAATGTGTATTCTGATAGTAAGCGACATAACCTCCTCCTTAAAGGCTAAAGCGAAACTGATCAGGTGGCAGGAATCAAGCTTCAAGACGCCGATATTTTAGGTAATTTCTTTTTAAAGTGAAAATAATGGTATTTAAAGAAAAGCAAATAACATAAGCACTACTTTATAGTTAGTTCAGTTAGCATGCAAAGTTTCATGATCTTATTTAAAGTATTTTATGAATAACAGCGGTTTATTGTTTATTTTTAAGGTAACTTTGCATTTTTTTCTATCGAAAAAAATTTACTGAATCGTGTTTTCGTCTAACATAGTCCTTAACATTAATCCTCAACTTTACGAAATATTTTCGGCATAACGGAGGATCTTGCTAAGCCATTTGAGGTTATATTTCCCCTTAATGGTTCGGTTGTCATTACCACTACCGATCGCATTGAAATTAGAGGTGTGGTATTTTTTTAACGCTAAAATCAACAAACTGACGTAGAACAAATTTGGAATAAACTGGGAGTTAGCAACGAATATTTGCACAGTCTTCAAAAGTCAATAAATAATTCATTAAACCATGTATTGTGTAGAAAAATATGCTAACTCTTTCTTCACGTGCCAACCTCATCTGCACGAGATCATGGTCTTGATTGACAAACATGGTTCTGGCAACTGAAATACTATCTATTCTATCTGTATATATATATATATATATATATATATATATATATATATATATATATATATATATATATATATATACACAGACGTATAATTCCACATTGGTAACAAGGAGCAACGACTAGCGCGAGACTATCAGCTCTGCGCTTATTAACTTCTGTGATTAATCTAAATAATGTTTCTCAGCTTGTGAATTCTTGACGCCTCATACAGCCACTGTCTGGCAGTGAACTTCTGAAGACTTTTGAATTCAAAATACGCATTTACTACCATGAAACTTAAAAAATTTCGATCTACGAATTATATTAGTGCAGGATAATTAAGTATTCACTTTGATGTCAAGCGATCACTATTTATTTTTTACACGTAAGAATATTTAATTTATCTGTGCGACTGCACTTAGTTGGTCTCTAATATACAAATAAACACGTAGATGGCTTATATCGGTTTAAAAGTATGTAGGAATGCCGCCGCTTCACTCTACTTACCAATAATAGTCACTTTCGAGAATCATAGTGGTGTTTCCAAGAAGTAAAACGGTGTCGAGTGATTTAGGCAGGTTGCCCTTATATGTACGCGCCATCTTCCTATTTCGGAGAACTTCAAGCCGTTTGAAGTTTATACTGATATAACCTTTTGCTGTATAAATTATTCCAATTTGTATGGGTTTGAGGTGGAAAATAGTTGCTACAGCCGAGGAAATGTCGGTGCAACGGTCATTTACTACGCTATAAATCGGACCACATAATGCGTATGCAGTTCCATGTTCTTTTGCGGATGATAAAACGTAGTAAACACATTTGAAAGGAAACTGGCTGAATCAGGTTGTTTGATGTTTTCTACAAATAGTTTATGTTTTATAGATTTGACAGATTAAAGCAAAGTTATCGACTATAAATGTTTAACGTGTGTTTATTTTATATAATTTAAAGATAATTAATATGCTGTTATGTCACCGTTCTAAAGCATTAAGATTTTATTGTAGAATTATAAAAAGAATGCTAGTAAAGACATTACCATTATTAATACGCCCCTTAACCACTCCAAGTAAGCTTAAATACTTGTTTTTTGAGTGGTTCGCGATAATTGTTAACTATTATGCAACAAAAAAATCTGTTATGTAAAAGGTATGTGTTCACTCTCTATAATTGATGAATGTATTTGAGAACGCCTAGTGTCAGTCCCATAGGCACTGTTTTGCGACAAAAAGTATATATATTCATCCTGTGAATGTAAGATGAATAATTGAAAAATAATTTTTAACTAAAATTATGAAGCCGATCCATCCAGTAATGAGGGGCAGCGTTCACGTACCAGAGTATTGTAGTTATTAATCCTACAGGTTAGTATAAAAAGTTTGGCGAGCTGCTTTGATTCTTGATAGGGTTAAGTTCAATATTTTTTTTTATATAATTCTGACCATTCCATAACAAAATATGACAAAATAAATTTAGCAAACATTGCGTAAGATATTTTTTACTTATGTATTAATAAGAGCTTCATAAGTTATCGAACAAAATCGAAAAAATAGTATTATCCAAAGTACCAAAAGTAAAATTAAGCTTTCCAAACCAATATTCATCTTGTGACTAATATATGTGCACTACTTCTAATTTTTATACACCATATCTACTATGTTGTACTAAAAGGAAGTGCCTCTACCTCTAGTAGCAAACTAATCGCAGCCCCGGGGTCAAACCGTGTAGGAGCCCGTCGTCCCGCCACGTTTATTATAATAAGCCCTGGTAGCCATTATGAGATTTAACCATCGTCCTTTATACCTCACCTTAGCTCACATAAAATTGTAGAATTATTTTCCTATTATTTTATAATATCCCACAAAAAGGGTAATAAATTCCTTCACTGCATGAACTTATATATTAATATTCAAATTGGATGTACTTACCTATTAGCGCTTGGACGTGGTAATTGGGTATAATCTCATTTGCGGTAGACAGTTTGGCGGCGGTTTTTGTACTCTGAAACAAAAGAGTGCCATCTATTGAACATGTGTAACATATGTTTAATGAGCTACACTAAAATTCACAAGTAGTGGCTAGGTACTCAATATTTCTGTACATATTGACTTGTTTGGTCTTATAACGACAGTGATTGACGAAACCGGTAATAACGGTTGTTAACAAATAATAAGTTTACGTTGCGAGATGTTAATTCCATCGCCATCTATAGTTGCATAATCTGTTGCTCCAGAAGTCACCAAATCTTTTTAAGTTTCAATGGTTGCGGAACTGTACACCAGAGGCAATTATTCTATGATAATATTGTGTAATCATCGTAAATTAGTCGCATCGTGATAGTCCTGTAGATCCGATTCTAGAAATCAACTATTGAAATTAATTGTGTGATCTTTGAACCGTTGCCAAATGTTTCTGATCTATGGTCGCTATTGTATGATATTATAAATAGACAAATAAAATGTTTTAAATATTTTATTTATTTTATTAACTCATTAATATTACTGTGATTTTGTGAAATTACTGTAGTAATCGCTTAATCGTTAATGTGCCGGTGCTCGTTTAATTAAAATAAATAAATAATAATAATTATTATTAAGCATTTAAGCTAATTTTAATTAGCTTTAGCCATTATACAGTCAGAGATATTGGTATGGTTGTTGTCTAATTAAAACACCAAAAATCGGTTTTTCGATTAAATATACACTATGATGATTAATTTAACTAATTTAAAAAAAATCATCGTAAAATGACTTAAACTTGCAACGAATTGTTCGTAGAATTAAGTTATAAAAATATAATTTAAAAACCTGTAGCGTATGCTCAAATTGCTTCGGAACCGTATGATGTCTGTGTTTCATAATAAATGATGATACGCCGTTGCTTAACAAGATTGATATTTTCGTGGCATGTGCATGAATGAATATCTGTCTCATATTCCGAAACAAAGGTTTATTCAATTTGTGGCCTCCATTAGATGTTAAGTTATCGAAAAAAGCCATTAAAGTGTACAATGCGAGATGAGACACTCACTATCGTTCCGATTACTATTTACGAGATAGTATGACTATTTTCCGGTCAACTCCCAGTAAGCTAGCTCAGTTCAGGTACCCAGCCACCTTCTCTATTAAAATTAAGATTTTTTTAAATTTCAATTGCCCCATGGAGCATCCTTAGTATCGTCCGAACCATTAAATCAGATATGATAGACCGCAAACCTGGCGAAATAACATCGATTACTGCCAAGAACAAATTAGACTAGACACTTAAAAACTTCCTAATTTTAATAAAGAAGATGGCTGGTGCTACCATTTGCTTAGGATCTTTTAATTAATAAAATTAAAGCTTATCCTGCGTAGATCAAACCAAAAATTAATATTTGAAAGTGAATGAAACATGTAATGAATCATATAATATATTATTATTTTATGTATTATGAATAATATAAATAGAAAATGTATGCCCGGTAAAATTATTCGTATGCCGCCATACAGTTTTTCGGGCAAACACTTTGCCACTATAATACCGACCTCTCAACATTTAATGTTAAAGTGTAGTGGAATTAAGTGTGATATTAATAAATATATGCTGACGAAATCAGTTAAATACTTAACGGCCATAATTCAAACATGCAAATTATGCATTACATTGCTACAGGTATGTATTTTTTTATCTGCCAAAGTGTTAATATTTTTGTTTTTGTCGTAGCCAAGTAATAACTACCTATAATCACAGTAATAATCTCCAAATATAAAGACCGTGTGTATCAAGAGTTAGATATCGTACACAATAAGTGACGATTCCAATACAAAACTATGGGAGCCTTCTTGATTATTATTAATTGTCACTGAAGATTGATGCGACATTGTTGTGTAACACAATGTTGATGTAGGTTAAGGTTTTAGTGTGGAGCAAGTTATTCCGACACAATCAACACAATGACCGTAATAAAGACCTTAATTAATTTCGACTATTGTAACGAATGAGCCAGGTAGCTCAGGGGCTTAGCGCTAAATTTCACAGTAAGCGAGCAATCCGGGTTTGATCTCCGTCAGCACCAATGAAATTGTTAATAGAAATTTTAAGGGCTGATTTAGCACTTGTATGGCGGTAAAGGAAAACATCGTGAGTAAACCAACATGTCTGAGAAATAAGAAAAAAATAGTTTGAAGGCACGTGAAGTTCGACAACACCCTTTGGGGTAGCACGGAGGACATTTCGTTGTTCATAAACCCTCTGATAAATGGGAGGAGGCCTGTGGCCAGCAGTGAGACCTATATTGGCTGTAAATTATTTAAAGTTTATTGAAACGATTGGAAAAGCATATCGTCGTTTTGTTTTCACATAAAACTTGTTTATTGTAATTATCTTTAAGAAATATGTTTTTAATTGAGCTGTACTTCTCACAGAACCATAAGAAGTGGTTTTTTAATATTTAACTTACACTACTACTACCATAATTATGCCATTTGACGGCGTTAGAAAAAAATCATACAGATATTTCAACGGGGTGGGTGTTGTAAGTTTTATAGAATGGGGAACGAAAACAGAGTACAAGTGATGGTAAATGGATTCTGTAGCCAATAGATATTTACACTTATCCTTGATTTAGAAACAAATCATGCATTGTCATGTCATTGTCATCCCTGAGGACTGAGATGAAATTACTCATTTTCAGTAAAGATACATATGTAATATATCTTTACACTCTTCTTCTGGTTCTTTACACTCACTATACGAAACACAGCTGCATTAAGCTGCTATTTTACGTTGGTTTTCTGTGAGAGCGTGGTCCTACCCCGATCGAGCCGAACCTTTTGTGCAACTAGCATAATTTAGCTGCAGCCTAGCTCTTCCACGTATAAAGAGGGAATCAAGGGAAATATCCTACAAATCTTGTGGCTTATGATAGATGACGATACTCTGTCATCTCATATTTATACCAGACTTACCACGGAAGAAGCCCAAGTCCAAGTGGACAATTTAGATATTTTATCAAAATATATTACGTGTGTATTTTTGAAAAAGAAATAGAAACAGAAACTTTTCTATTCAATATAGATTGTAAACAATACTTATTGAAAGTCACTTTTTTCATATACTACTAGATCGCAAAAATCACCTCTGTCCTGGAAAGAACCAGCAAGAAACCCAGTGGGACTATTTTTTTTTCAAATAATAGCTTACAATCATGTACGTTACAATTGACAATACGAAATAAATTAGTAATAGCTTGGTAGTGATCACCCTTCCCAGGGGTTATTATCATCCATAAATTATTTAATATTATAATAACCCTTTTATACAAACTTAGTTTAATAAAGTTTTTGAACGTTGTGTATGTCAAATTTTGTATATTTTCTAGGATTTGGGGCGATGTAAAGCGTATACATCGCCCCAAGAATGAATTACTGACTCGGTAGAGTCGAGTAACTGGTACTACTAGTTAGTGTCTGTTCCTAGTATTTACAGAATGAATATCAATTATTTTTGTAAAACTACTTTTATTTTTGTGTACGTACATTACATTTTCATAAATGTATTGAGAGGCCAGAGTTAATACATTATATTATATGATATTAAAAATCTTAAATAGTTTTTATCGGAGTTCAACGGTAATCTTCTTTGGTACTTTTTATTGCATAACTAAAATCTAAGGGAAGAATTTGATGTTGTCGGAAGTGTACTTAATTTTTTTTCTTTTGAACTTTTGATCCAATCAACTTAATATCAATTCCGTAACAGATATTTTAAAAAGTTAACAACCTAAAACATTTCGGCTTGTATTTGCGTTTTAGCTTTTAAAGAATCGTTTTTATGTATTTTATAGTAAGTAAATTCTTACTGCAAAACGATAAAATCAATTTATTTACTTAAAGAAGGAAAGGACTCATGTGTTTAATCTGGTTCTGCATGCAGTCTGATTAACCGGTCTCGATAAAACTTTCACTGATAACTAGCTGCTATAATTACTGGCATCTAAATATAGTTCACATTTATTTGAACACACTTATTCGACTATGATCTCGATGTTTTTTTTATCATATTATTTTAATTTCAAGGAACGAAATAAGAAAATCTTCTCGATGGTTATTTAAGGTATCAAAGTTGAGTAACAAATGTAAGCAAGGTCGTTGAAAAATGGAGTGGCTCGTTTAAAGAAAATATTATATATATACTCGGATTATATACGTTACTGGACGCAATTACAGCGCTACATACGGTGGTTGGGCCGAAATAACAATAATTAAGGCGTCGCCGTCTTGGCCGCCTCAAATAACGATTCCAACGCGGTTTATTTTGCTGAAAATTGCGCTCATATTATTACTATGCTTATTTATGCATAAGCGACTTATGGGAGGTAAATGTGACGTCGCATGGGAACTTAGCTTTAATTGTCTTTTTTTTCTATTTTCTACTTTTTCCATTATAATATATATGTCAACAAATTTAAACGTTTAACCTTTTATAGTATTTTTCTCAGTATTCTATCTGTCAGTTTAGTGAAGCGAGCGGCATCAATTAGTTTATTTCTTGCTAGTATGTCACTTAATTCCAGGAGATTATGGTTTTTTTCGACACGTTTTGATTAACTGCAGTTACTGTTCGACGTCTAGAGTAGTGGTTGCTTAGGATTTGAGCAAACTGCCGTATATTTTCCCGTGGGTGTCGTAAGATACGCCAGAGAAAAACTGAAACAAGTGGTAGGCAGCGGTATCTTTCTGATATAAACACAAAAAAACCTACATGCCGCGTAATAAAAAAAAACACCTGCCAAGTGTCGTAGCTATGACAAATATCCCACAGATTGTCCTGTGATACTCTGCTACCGAGATAAACAAATGTTCGTATATTATTATTCCAACATTATCCTATTCTCAAGTATTCATCTTTATTTAAAACTTTTGTGATAAATAAAATGAAAGTAAAAACGTAAAGTAACATCTAGAGTAGCAGTATATTTGTTATTATTGGACACCAAGTACACATTTCTGAAAGAGTTTTGGAGCAGTTGTTTCGCCATTACTCCTGGAGTCTAGCGAACTTCACATGATCTCGAAATATAATAACATCTCAGATATGCAAATTTTCTCACGATGTTTAACTTCATTGACAAGTATGTAGTAAACTAGCACTTAAAAATTTTAATTTGTTAATGTCTTCAGCGGAGATCGAATCCGGGCTGCTCGCAACATAAACAACATTAAGCGCTCATATCAAAGAGCAATCATGCCTTTAAAACGAAACGACTCAGCAAAGTTTTTGTCTATAAATTGAGTACTTGGAGAGAAAAATTATGAAATATAAGAGTATAACATCATTCGTGGTAATTGTGTACGGGCGCCACATTAACAACAACGAGTGCAAAGAGAAGGGTCCTTACTCTCATTCTCTTGTCATTTTTTTATTACTTTCGAAAGTGATACTCGCTTATTATGCAACTGAATGATATTTACGTAGGAGGCTGTTAATAGCTTACTTGATAAGATTTTACGACCGTTCGTAATATTTTCATGAAAACATATTAATTAATTAATAAATTTGCACAAACTTGCTAAGTAAGACACAAATTACATACTTTATTAGACTGGTTAGGGAGAATGGGATCTGTTTTAACTGCTTTTTATATCGTACGATCAAGTTTGATAGATGTGTTAAATGGAAAGCGTAATGAGCATAATTTAAAAACCGGAATGGATGTTATTTCAGAAAAAATTTTATCATATTGTATCATCATCATCATCATTATCATCATTCCAGCCCTTCACAAGTCCATTGCTGAACATAGGCCTCCCCCAAGTAATGCCACAAAGCATGGTCCTGAGCCACCTGCATCCATCGACTTCCTGAATGTCTTACCAGGTCGTCACTCCATCTAGTGGGGGGCCGAACTACACTACGCCTACCGGTACGAGGCTGCCACTCGAGAACCTTT